CCCCCCCCCCCCCCCTCGAAGCACGAGAAGAAAAGATTTCCTCTCTTTTCACTTGTAAACAGAGGCAATATCGGTGCTCCTCCTGTCGTGTCTACCTTATCTTTGTGCCTGGGTGAAAGCTGGCATTTAGCTGTCCACCCACCTCTCCTTCGACAGGACTGCTTCTATCCAAGCCTTTGTGCATCACAGATCTCACCCTTCCAAAATGCTTCCCCTGTTCACTGCCAACTTATTGGGATCTGCAGGTGCAGGTGCTCATTAGCTGAACACTGTCTCATCTTTATGCAAGAAAGCTGATTGCAGGCTCGTGTGTTTTTGAGGACAAAAATTGATGTGGTCTTGCCAAACACATTTTTGTGAAACCTTGTTTATTCAATTAGCAATGAAAATTTGAGAATGATGAATCTCCAGAAAATTCCTGCATAAAAAATTCTTACATAGGGTTAATCTGTGATTCAGTCTTGGACCTTCTCAAAGTAAACCAGATGTGGTTTAAATGGCTAACAGTGTTTTGGTAGAGTATAGTAAAGTTTTGGTGCTTCATCATGTCATCCTTAATGATGCAGTGTATTTCTCTGCTTAGATTTGACTAATGCATGTGGACTAGTATGAGATGAGAAGTCAGAGTTTTGCTTCCATTTGCCCATGTTTCACTCAGTTAGCACTTTGGGATACAGGAAAGACCCTTGGAAATCTTAATATCTGGTTGTCGTTTTCAATTGTGCATTCACATAGAATGAGGTCACTCATTGTGCTCTCAGAACGACAACCGTGCAAGTGGAAAGCATAGCACAACCCTTAGATATTAGTAATGAACTACATTTAAGCATTCTGACACTTAATTAACAGCCAAGGTAGAAAGCTTGAACTTTGATTGACATTTACTGGGCTTTTTGCTGATCTTCTCTGCAGGAGTTGTCCTGCTAATAGTAGCATACAGCAAGGTCTGCATTGCTATTTAGCTTCCAGTTTAATTAGGAGAGTTGACGTACTCTGTCCAAACGGCTGCAGAAACCAGCTAAAATGAAAGGCACCAGCAAGCCTCTGTGTTTGAACGCAGGTTTGATTACAGCATTCAAGTGCTTCACATCAGTAATTCTTGTGTGTGCCCATTCTAGCTGCTCACCAGAGATTTCACTGGAAGCAACTAAAAAGGAACAGATTTGAAGAAGGTTTTAAGACATTCAGATAAACTGAAATCATGGAGATAACATCAGTATGTTTTGTCCTATTTTCTTTTTCATTTCGACATGATTTATCAGCGAAAGCAGAACAGTCACTGAGGGTGAGGACTTTCTGTTTTTCATATAAGACCAAAGCATTCCCTTACCATACACAGAAACAAAATTACAACTTCTTTGCAAAGTAAGGGGAAGCCAAGGGACTTCTTAACAGTGGACTTTGAACTAATTGTCTACTTCTTCTTTATTTAAAAACAATGATTGAAATAGAAATGCAGGAAATTAAAGAAGGAAAGATATATTTAGGATGCATGGATGTCTCTGGTTACTGGCACAAAGATTCCTCATGAAGTAGTTGCAGCAGTTAAAAACTGGAATAAAACTAAAAGGGATAAATAAGTAATGTTCAGCCCCACACATTCAACTGCAATTACACAGATAAAGAATGGGAAAGGTTCTCATTTAATGCATTTATTCAAGTAGGTCAGAACTTTTCTAGTGAAATGTTTTCCCTCAGGGAGCATACACTCATCAAAACCAAATGGTACGGAAGAGATCACTTGATATGTTCAAGGAAAGGACACAACACAAGCAGCCTTCTAGTGTCCTGCCAACTGGGTTGCTGGCTCTCTTGGCAGTCTCCCTGCAGCTGGCAAGGGTTGAGGGCCTGAGCAACCTGCCAGCACCCAGCTTGAAGCTCTTCAGCACTGCTGGCTTCTGAGGGTTGGAGACCATGCAGAACATCAGCCAGAGGCCTCAGAAACCTTATTTATTCACATAGCTTAGTGATATTTGTTTCTCCTTCCAACTCAGAATGAAATCCTGCCTAACTGACAGAGAACTAGCCTTCTCTGGATAGTTCTATTATTTACCATCTTTCATATAATCTCCTCTGCCATGTTATTGCGACATCTGTACAGATGTACCCAACTGTAGTCCATTCCTCAAAGAGTTCACAGTCTGATTCATAAACTCAACAGCATTCATTTGATGCTTACTTACTATTATTTGATTTTTAGGACTGTTTTCTTTCTGAGTGTGGAAGAAAAATCGAATGTATGGTTTTAACAACAAACTTCTAGTCAATGCTATCAATAGGCAACTGTAATGGCTCAGCAAGTGCTCCTGAGGTATGTGGAGAATACTGAGATCTATGCATACATGCTTGTGTTGGTAGAACTGGATGAGCCATGTTTTCCTGTAAATGATGTCACGATCTTCATAGTATTATAGAACCATAGAATGGCTTATGTTGGAAGGGACTTTAAAGATCATCTAGTTCCAATTCTCCTGCCATGGCCAGAGTTGCCACCCACTAGGGCAGGCTGATATCCACAACTACTCTGGTCAACCTGTTTCAGTTCTTCACCACCCTCTGAGTAAGGAATTTTCTGCTAACATCTAACCTACGTCTCCTCTCTATTCATTTAAATGCTTTCCCCCTTGCCCTATCACCCCTTGTAAAGTCGGTCCCTTTCCTGCTTATAAGCTCCCTTCAAGTACTGAAAGGCTGCAAGGAGCTCTCTTTGGAGCCTTCTCTACTGCAGGATAAACAAGTCCTACTCCCTTACCCTTTCTTCACGGAGAGGTGCTCCAGCCCTCTGACATTTTTGTGGTCCTACTGTGGACCATCTCCAACACTTCTACATTCTTCTTTTTCTGGGAGCCCCGGGTCTGGATGCAGTACATCAGATGGGGCCTCATGAGGGCAGAGTAGAAGGGGACAACCAACTCCTCCTGCTGGCCACCCCTCTGATGCAGACCAGAATACAAAACAATAATTCTGCTGTAAACTCATTTGATGACAAAGGAGGAGGACTGGAGTCAGAAAAATTGGGAAAGTACCTAGTCTCAATGGTCAGCAATCATCAAAAGGTACTGAAAAAGAAAGAAAAATTGTATTCCTTTTCATATGGACTCCCATATCCTGTTTTATTCACAGCTGTTCTTCATAGTATTGTGGTTTATTTTTTTGTTTTTTTACTTTTGGAACTACAAGAACATTTCAGAAACTAAAAGTTTAAGACTCATCTGCCATCCAGCAACTGCTTTCTACAGCACTGCTGATGAAATATCTCCTATCTGATATTATTTGATATACCATAAGCTTTGACTTCAGTGCTGGATATTTCAGCAGCTCCTGCAGAAGAACAAACTATCAGTCAGTAGTCAGAATTCCCATACTCACATGCATTTGACAGATTGCCTAGGAAGCAAATAGCAAACATTATTTTTGCTTTTGTGTCATTTTTACTTTCAAGTTGTCCTCCTGATAAACATGTGGAACTCTTCTAGAAAAATTCATCTAATTTAATTTTACATTCCCATAGCTGTAGCACTGATAGATCTGAAAACTAGATCTGCTATTTAGTTGAAAAACAGATGCAGTCTTGAGAGTTTTAGGGCGTCAGCATGCGTTGCCTAATGTTGATGACTGAGGTTTTGAAAAAATCATATACATATTGGAAGAAGGA